TGAACTGTCTTCATAGGCAGTCCCTTGTTGAGTACATTACAGTAATCCATCTGAGATGTAACTAAGGCGTGGATCACAGTGGCTTTTTGAGGTACAGGCGCAGTTGGCGCACACGTTTTAATTGTGTGAAAGCCCTCCCAGCCACCACCAACACCTGAAGTTCAGCGCTGAGTCCAGGAGGAACCCAAAATGCGCACTTGAGTCTTTTTTTGGGGGGGGGGGTTAACCCCATCGAGCACAGGTTGCCACTCTATACCCTGAACAGCCCCACAACTAACCAAGAGGACCTCTGTCTTGTCTATCTTGTCATGATTAAGTTTCAGTTAGCCCTCGCCCAGCCCATCACAGCAGCTAGGCACCTGTTCAGGACCTGAGAGGCTTCCTTGCCTTTAGGTGGAAAAGAGTAATAGAGTTGTGTGTTATCTGTGCAGAGATGACACTGAACTTCAAAACTCTGGATGACCTCATCCAGCAGGTGACAAGACTTTTTAGCTAACATATTTTCCTGTGATATATGTAAGAAATTGGTAGTGGGGTAGAGATAAAATAGTTCCATGGAATACTTTTTTTTTAAAAAAACTTTAAACATCTGAACAGTTACTTTGTGTGCAACATTTCTTTGAACATACTCAAACCATAAAATATTCAGATGGAGAAGTATCATGAATGACTTTTCAATAACTTTGAAGCATAGGTTCTTTTTATTGCAATATCCAATATGAGAAGGTATATCAGATTACAGAAAAAACATTTAGACAAAGAATGACATTGGACATACAGACATATGGATTCTATGCAACTACATTGGATTTACAATTACATGGCTAATGAAAGGGGAATTACATTTCACTCAGCATTCACACCACATGTACATGCATTAATCCTCAGGCATTCAAATATTAACATAACATTTTCTCCCTCCTTGGAGAAGCACCTGTTAGACCAGACACTGCTTTCTTGTAACCCTTCCAACGCATAGTTCCATAATACAAAAACTTCAAAACGCCGAAATGCCAAAACTTATTTCCCTAAGAATAATGTCATTGCCATCTTGTTCCCTGTGACATCAGTGCCCCTCCCCAACACCAACGGCCACTCTGGGGCCAGAATAAAGAAGGGGAGCCGGGAGGACATTGCCATCTTGTTTCCTGTGACATCAGCGCCCCTCCCCCAACACCAACGGCCACTCTGGGGCCAAAATAAAGAAGGGGAGCCGGGAGGACATTGCCATCTTGTCCCCTGTGACATCAGCGCCCCTCCCCCAACACCAACGGCCACTCTGGGGCCAGAATTGTTTTTATACTATGTCTTGAATTTTGTTGTTCCTATGTTGTACACCGCTGTGAGTCGCCCCTGGGCTGAGAACATCGGTATATAAGCAAAGTAAATAAATAAATAAATAAATAAATAAATAAATGTCAAGGATCAGATAGCTGTTTTCCATACAGCAGAACCTGACTCCCCACACAAAATATAAGACTCCAAAAGGGCACTTCTTCCTCTTCCCTTGCGAAAGAAGCCCCAAAGTGACCAGATGCTCCCATGCAAATCTGCCATTCTCCATAGATACACTATCTCTCTCTTTCCCATGGAGCAGAGCATAACAGGTGGAACAGACTCCTCAGGTCTGACACACTTTGAGTATTATTAGATTGAGTCTTTAATAGGAATATTCTGCTAATGTAGTCCCAAAGTTGTAAGTTAATGATAGATGTCTTTTATCCTGGATCCATCTCGGTTTCCTGGCCAGATGTTGATTCTTCTTAATTGGTGTTGATCTTATGTTGATTTCCTTCTTAACAGAAGGAATGTTGTAAACATGTCTCTTAACTTGAAAGAAGCATTGTCACAGTTCTTATCAGAGTTTACCTTTTCAGCTGTCATTAGCAACTTTTAATTACAGTCCAGCAAGCAGGTAGTTAGTTATTGCAGGCCTGGGCCTTTTACTTTTACTGGTGTTTCCAAAATTATTAGCTCCATACATACATTCATCTTCTATTCTTCCATTCATTCCCACACATCATATTAAATTCACAAAAAGAGCCATTCAGCAGTGGAACTCTCTGCCCCGGAGTGTGGTGGAGGCTCCTTCTTTGGAAGCTTTTAAGCAGAGGCTGGATGGCCATTTGTCAGGGGTGATTTGAATGCAATATTCCTGCTTCTTGGCAGGGGGTTGGACTGGATGGCCCATGAGGTCTCTTCCAACTCTTTGATTCTATGATTCTATGATTTATCAAATCTGCATATTGAATTTCTTATTACAGAGGTGCATTTTACTTATCCACACCCCAAAGCAAATATTAAAACCCCATTCTTTCTGTAAAGAGGACTAATACTCTTTTGGCAGACGTGGGCAGTACCAAAATTGGCACATTCCCAACTGTAGCAAAAGAAATTTAGCTATTCACTAGTGTTGTTTATATATTCTATACCATGATTCCCTTTGGACACTGTACTATGTGGGGTGTCTCTACGTGGGGCTGCCCTTGAAGACGGCCCGGAAGCTTCAGCTAGTTCAGCGCGCGGTAGCCATGTTACTAACGGGAGCGGGACGCAGGGAGCATACAACGCCCTTGTTGTCCCAGCTCCACTGGCTGCCGATTTGCTACCGGGCCCAATTTAAGGTGCTGGTGTTATCCTACAAAGCCCTAAACGGTTCCGGCCCAAAATACCTCTCGGACCGCATCTTGGCCTATGAGCCCACGAGGACCTTGAGATCGTCTGGGGAGGCCCTTCTCTCGATTCCGCCTGCCTCGCAGGCGCGTCTGGCGGGGACGAGAGAGAGGGCCTTCTCAGTGGTGGCCCCCCGGCTGTGGAACGCCCTCCCTGCTGACATCAGACAGGCGCCCTCTCTCATGGCTTTCCGTAAGAGCCTAAAGACCTGGCTCTTCGAGAAGGCATTTAACTAGTCCCAGACTAACTGACAATGACAATGACAATCGGAACGAAATACGGATTATGAGACTGGTAGATCCCTATGTGGTGACGGTGCGGATTAGTTTAGTGTAATTTAGATTAAGCGTGTTATATGGTTTGTTGATATACTCTGTGTTTTTTGTAAACTGTTTTTATATGTTGTACACCGCCGCGAGTCGCCCTAGGGCTGAGAGCGGCGGTCAACAAATGCATTAAATAAATAAATAAATAAATAAATACTACCCTAGAATGAGTTGGATCCAGATAAAATTGTATTTAATGCAGACCGCTTGAAATAAATGGGGTTTAAATGAGTCAGGACTAAAATAAATCTAATTGATCTCAGTGGGTCTGCTTAGTTACCAATGTTATTCAAATGTTTCTTGATTAAATACGATGTCTCTGAAAGTTGAATTAAGACCTTAGAATAGCAAAACAACTCACCAGGAAGAATGCCATGAAGTTAACAACATGGCTGATATGTTTCTATCCTACACACAGACCAGGTGTGACGATGTGTAAGTTTTATTTCTTTGGTTATGTGTAGCTTGGATAGTGGTTTAGGGATGGTAAGTATGGGAGATTATGTTTTGTGGGAGATGGTGGCTGAGTTGCCATAGCAACAGGGGCGGAGCCAACTGCCTCTTCAGGGGCAGCTGTTTTGAAAAAGGGTCAGTCAGTACGCCAGCGAGTTACTGAGTGGACTGAATCTTTTGGTGGAGATTCAGGGAATGTGTCTGTAGCCCGTGTACTATAGGGAAAGACTGAATCTCTTGGTGGAGATTCAGGGAATCGTTGCCCGGCTTCCCTCATAGATTAGGTGGCAGTGGGTGCTTTACCACGCGCACCTTCACAATTGGTGGCATTCGGTGGCACCTCTTTACACCAGGTTACTGAGAAACTGCCAACAGTAAAATGTTCAAAATCAAAGCAACATTCCACCAAAAGGAGTAAAGTTGTCATGGATTGTAGGTTGCTGCCAAGGTGGGCACATTTTGCACAAAAGTATATTTTAAATTGGACTTTTAACTGACATAACACAGGATTATTTCTAAACAATTTTTTTTCTGAAACCAACCTTATAAAACATAAGCACTTGATACCACAACAGGCTATACAACTTACTGAAAGGCCCCGGTCTAATGAAGTATTGTGGGGACTGACATCTGGGGTCACGTTCCACAACACTGGGGGTAAGTTCTCACAACCATCCCGCTTCTTCAGGCTTAAAAAAGCCCAGAGGAGCAGGATGGTGCCCACTACAGTCCTCCTGGTGTGAGAAAATGGAACATCAGGTTTGGGGGGAGGGGGAGGAGACAGGATTTTCTTCCTCCCCTCCCCCCCCTCCTGATGCATTATTTTCTCATGCCAGGAGAACTGTAGGGAGAGGCCTGTGCTGCCAGCAGGCCTCTCTGCCAAGTTTGGAGACCTGAATGGGGGGATGAAGGGGTGGCCTCATGCTATCCTGATTTGACTCCCGATTTGACTCTGCTCTGAAAACTCCAAAAGATTTGGGTTGGGGGTGGGGACTAGAACCTGTGCAGAAGTGGGTTACTTTAAAGTTACTCTTTAAAATGTACCTGCTCTAATATGCAAATTCAATTTGAGAACAAACCTTTAAAAAACTAACTTGTTTGTAACTTGGAGACTGCCTGTAGATATATACCTGGCTGGAGTTACTCTAAAATGCACCTGTGCCCACTTACATGCAAATTCAACTTAAAACAAGTCTACAGAACCTATCTTGTTTGTAATGCAGGGACTGCCTCTGTATGCTTAATTCCTACTTTAGTGCATTCATACTTTCAGATGTAACAGTGATGGTGTTTCATGTTCTGCTAATTATCTATCTACCTCCATTGAAAACGTCAAGGTGCCATCAGGTATCAATGCATGGCCGGTTTGGAGTTTTCTTCTGTCTTCTTTCCCAATAACATAAATGTATTAAATCCTTTAAACCTCTGGGAAACCTAGCATTTCATTGGCCTGGGCTAATTAACAAAATGGCTAATTCCTTTATGGTAATCCTCTTACATGCCCAGAGCTATTTCTGTCAGGGTCATCATGATCCCAAGACCTAAATCTCTATCCAGATTTATCTATCCTCAAATGTACATCAGCCAAGGACTCACATTTGCTCGAGCTTTACCCAATCAAGGAGATTGTTGGTTACTCTGGGAAAAGTGGAGTGCCCAGGAAGCTAAGTATCTGAATTTTCACAAGGTAACTTTCTCTCTTTTTTGCTTGCTTCTTTATTTATTTCTAGTGATATCAATCAATTTGCAAAATGCTATATAATTTCAGAAGGAAAAAAAATGATTTTGTCCTATCCTTAAAATCATCTTTTCCCCCCTATAGCTTGGAGCAATGTATGTTTTGCTGTTTTTTTATTGTGTTTATCTCAGTAAAATGATGGCTCTAAAACTCATTCACATAAAGCAATTTAGCTACCACCTCACAGAAACATATGATGCTTATGATTTGTTCAAAATTGAATTCCATGACAGTAACTTCTCACAAACTACATTATTTAATAGATGCATTTAGGATGTCAAGATTGACAAGTTAACTGGCAGTGCAGTCCAATGGGGATCAAATCAGTAGTGTTGTGGTGACAGGAGCCTTACTTTTATGTCTTGTTGCACTGGATTTCTCCCACTTTCTTGCATGCTTTCTAAAAGCAGTGTCAGTTGGAGCTGGTATATATATATATATATATATATATATATATATATATATATATGTGTGTGTGTGTGTGTGTGTGTGTTCACAACTTTGTCCTCTGTTGCGCTAGCAAACAGAGCTTGCAAGCAAAGCTTCCTGAAAGTGGAAAAATACCTAGACTTTCTTCTTTACATTAGTTTTCCCTCTCTCTTTTACTACAGAGTATTATTTGGGTGCTCATTTATTAAGGACTTAAAACTCACCTACTTGACAGAAAATCACACTGTTCTAAAATTATATTAATGGTTGGTGTCTTTGCCAATTAAATAATATTTAATTTAATAGTCTGGCTGATAGTTTGACAGTAAACTATATTCTGTTTCCAACTTGAAGAATCATTAATGGCAATTTCATATGTTTGCTCAGGCATATACTTTCTTGGGTTCCACAGGACTTACTCCAAGTAGGCTTGGGCGGTTTCGTTCGTTAATTTCGTAATTCGTTATTAATTCGTATTTAAATTAGCTTACGATCCAATATTGAGCCATGCAGAAATAGTGTGAGGAGTAAATTAGATTCGAAACAATTTTTTCAATTTATTTCGTAATTATTTTGTAATTATTTCGTAATTATTTTGTAATTATTTTGTAATTATTTCATAATTATTTTCGCATGTCTGGTGCAAGTTTTATAGTTGTTGTTTGTTTTATCACACCAACAGTCAACAACAGAGGGAGAGGGAAGCTTCAGAAGTTCCCCCTGTCCCATTTGGACGTTTTTTTAGCATATTGCGCAATCACGTCCGCCATTAACAAATCAATTCGTAATTTTATGAAATTTCGTATATTTCAAAAATTTTAAAAGGAAAATTTCGGAATTATTAAAAAAACGAAATGCAAGGGCCCCCTAAAAACAAAACGAGTTTAGTACCAAATTTTTCCGTGGTTACCCAAGCTTAACTCCAAGGTGTTACAACTTAAATTTAAGATTGTATCATAACTAGTCTGTGATTTAGGTAGTGAGGGATCTTATCTTACACAATGGAATAAAAAGCCTAACCTGCCAGTTTGGACCATGAACCACCAATGGATTGTACCTTTGCCCATTAATCAAAGTCATAAACCCTGCCCAAATTTACTCCCGAGCAAGGATGTGAATTTTCATTTTTGCAGTCAAGAAGGGTGAATTCCAATAGAGAACATTTTTCACACAAACCTGAAAAATTTGGTACAGTTCTCAGTTACTATCTTCATTTCAGTATTTGTGCAGGAAATATATTTCCTGTGCAGAAAATGTGTTTCTTGTGCAGAAACAATTTTTTGTTTCCTCTTCAAGAAACATGTTTTCCATACAGGAAAAAAAATCAGAGAAAATTATGTGCAGATAAATATTTGCTAAAGGGCAAAAATTCTCATGGCTGACTTGCCGTATACTGTTCCTCTCAACAGGATTTCACAACCATTGGAAAGCTCATTCTTACTTAGGAAATAAGTAATAATGAATATTTTTCCTTCCCTGCTTCTAAATCACAAAATTCTGTCTCAGCTTTTCCTTTTTTCTTGTCATTTCCCATCTTCATTCTGTTCTAAGTAGTCTCAACTAGTTAATGTTGCAATGATTAATGTAAAAAGCTATTGGGGTTTGTACAGATTTCCATACCCTCCAGCCGTGCCAGTTTGATTTTGTAAATTGGGAGAATCAGTATGTCTTTATTTGATTTTATTTGTAAAAGTCTGATTTGCTGTGGCCTAGTTTATATCTGTTGTGCAAGGACAGCTACATTACTTTGAATGTTACAAAATCATAAGCAGCAGCTCTGAACAGAAGCATATCATCCTCCGCGGTAATTAAAATGACCTCTAGTTGAGTCAAAGAGAGATTACTTCTTTTTGATCATTTTGGCTTCCATCTCAAATCTTAAGTTTTGATATTGGTAACTATTTGATATTTGTAACTAAAATCCAAATAAAACAGAAACATGTTATAGATATTTATTTGTGAATGCTGCTACCAAATTGTGTTTAGGTGGATTCAAAATAGTTGGTGGAGGCAACAAGTATAGAGGATCTTATGGGGCTCTGCTCCTACTTGAGAGGAGGAAACAATCCTGCATATTATGTTTGATATTAGAGCACATTGCAGAAGAAATTGATGGAAGTCTTGATGCTGTCCAGGAGATCCTTAAAATTTGCTGAAACCAAAGCTGCACCAAAGCTGCAAACGATGAATAAATACCAGAAACTATTATTGCTTGCTGGAAGAATTTATGGAGTGATGCTATGGACAATTTACATATTCCCCCCCCCCCCCCCCCCCCCCCCCCCACACACACACATACTGTAGTGGTCAATGGAAAATTTAGGAGAATAATTGATGCATCAAAAAACTTGATAGAAGAGAATTTGAAACACCTTGGTAAATGTCCACATGACTTGTTCTGCTTCCATTTTTGGAATGTGATCCTTGGATTGGACACAGCATTAAATTCACTTATATGATTGCTTTAGGGTTATAACTTCTGCAGCAAAGTTCTGATGAGTTGAAAAAAAGAAACAACAACTTCCTGTTATGATGTTCTTCCAAAAGTCTTAACATTGTCTTCTCTGATATTGGCATCCTACCATCTATATCATCTACTCCTGATATCAACATCCTACTATCGACAGTGTGTGCTTCCAATAGTAACTTTAAACCATCATAATTGTCCTGGTGCTATGTTTTGACACACTCCATATTTTACCACATACCTTGTGATGAAATTTCCTCTTCTGACAATAACTCCAGATCAGAAGGGATCAAATTGTTTTCAGTGTCCACAATGCCTTCATCTTTTCATTTTGAATAAGAAATTCGGGGTTCCACATTATAAACAAAAATTGTATGACACAAAGTGTCCCAAAAATGATCCTGTATTGTTTTTAGAAATGGGAGATCAGTTAATGAGACTGCTAAATTCAAAAGCCTCTTAACTGAACTCATCCCATTGGAATTAACCTTGAGAAAGTGACTTATGTCTTGTGATCTAGACTAGAAGCGGTAACAACAAGCAAAGGAGATTTTAGCATACTCCAAAGGAACTAGATTTTAGTAAAAACAACACTAAAACAACACTCAACTAATAGAAATGGTAGGTAAATATAAAAATGCAATGTAAATTTGTCTCTTTAAAGCTGTGTCTCAATCTATTTCATAACTTAATTCTAAAGAAATATTTATGCTCAAATTCCAGTTTGAATCAATTGCTTTAGCTGAAAATGCATTTTATTGCCACTTTCATTCATAAGTGACCAAATAAAGGAATAGCATTATTGATGTCACTTCATGCTGCCTAAACCCTCTTGTCAGTTAGACTGAGGAAAATATCTCTCCAAAAGTTTAAAACCTAGGCAGGGCTATACATGAAGATACAGTTAGCTCGAATCCATCAATTTGTTGTGTAGGGCTGTGTAGTTGAGAACAAGTGCACTGAATTATAGTAATTTTGAACCAGAAATGGCTTATTTAGATGACATAGTTAGGTACATGATAGGTAGAGACAAATTATAAAAGTATCCCTGATTTTGAGATAAGCAACCACAGGGGCCAGGACAATAATATATATGACAGTCTTTAGCTTCATAATAAGTTTGGAAGGAAACATAACCTCATAATTCAATACTAGACTCTTCGCACTGTAAACAGAGAATACATCAGTTTCACAAAATTGCTGCATGAGTCATGGAACAGACACTTGCCTGTCCCTTGTGCTTTTTATCTGGATAAAATTTCTTGGGAAAACAAATGACTATTTTATAAGAGCTGGATCTAAGGCTATTTGTAATGAATCATTTTGGAAAACTGAAGAGAAATTAGAGTTCTATTTATTTTTGTCACAGTTGGACACTGGGAGGGATGAAAAGTGATCCTCCAGATACGATTGGGTTTTAATTCCCATCATTCCTCACAATGGTGGGAGCTGCAGCCCAACAAACTCTGCAGGACCATAAGTGCCCTCTTCTTTGGTCTTAAGAAAATTGAGGAAAAACAACAACATTTGTTTAAAATTTTGAAAGGTTTCAGTTTAGGGGGAGATATTTTATATCAGGAAAGGAGAGCTACCAGAGATTGCTCAACCCATTCATCTTCGGTTGTTGGCCACAATGGCTGGGCAATTGGCAATTGAGTCTTATGGCAATTGAGTCTTACAATATTTTCAGTCACAGCTTTCTCTTCCTACTGTATATATACTATTTATCTTGACATTTCTCTGTTGCTTTATATAACTCTTTTCCACACAAATAGTTCACAAATTTATTTTTTAAATGCGATTACAATACAACTAACAGCAACAATAATGGCAAAAAGCAGTTATTACAATCTAAAGGGATAAAGCTATTGGGAAAATATGTTTAAGTCTGATTTATGTAAAACAAGGTGCTATAATTTAATATGTCAACATTTGAAACGAATTTTTTTAATCATATATAAGGCACTACAGTTAGAAAAATATATCTGATTTCATAGCTCACAGAAATGTAATTTCATAAAGCTAACAGCCTTCCTTCCATGTGAAAACTGAA